TAAATTAGTCTTGTAAGAGTTTTACAGCACTTGGAACACAAATAGGTCATATAAGTGCTGAAGATGAGAGGTGTTACTTGAGAGTAAACAAAAGTAAAGGTGTTCCCGCATCCAATCCGGACATTGGGGATTGTCTTGTTAGTGAGACAACTTCCTGGGCCTTCGGCATAGTGTGGTAGGGTGGCCAGTTCCTTTCCACGCCGCCTTTACTTCCCCAACTCGAAGTCAGGTGCCCATTACTGCCGGGTGGGCAGGAGGGGGCGAAAAAAATCTGTGTTCGAACCGAGGCTCAAACCCGGACTTTCCCGGTTCCACTTCGGAGACGAGCGCACTAACCACTCCGCCACCGCACCCACTTGAGAGTAACAAACGTATAAAAGCAGGAGAAGAAATAAGGGCAATAGATGTTTAAATGGAAAGGAGGAGAGATATATACGTTTGATAAAAAAGAAGGAGAGATAAGAACAACAGATGTTTGATAAGAAAGAAGGAGGATAGATAAGAATGACAGCTGTTTGATAAAAAAATAAAGAAAGAGTAGAGATAAGGATGATAGATGTTTGATTAGAAAGAAGGATGTAAACCGGACCAGAGCATTTTCCAACCACCCACGGAAACACACAAAAGAATCAAACTACATACACATGTTCGTTTCACAGTAATTGTATTTAATTTGTTTATTTGGATACTTTGATTCAGGCCTGTATAAGCAGGCACGACAAGAAATCTTACTCAGCAGTACACACATACAAAAACACAAACACAGGCAAACATGAAATAACACTGTTGCTTTTCACATCCTCAGTGAGAACGTTATCACTAAATGCCCCAACAGTCGACAAAACTGAAAAAAAAAAAGAAAACTACATATTTCATCAAAACTTTATCAGAAGCAGCTTTCAACCAATAAGCTTCAGAAATTTATACTCTACCTTTTATGAACAAAATAAGCACCTGCTTAGAGTCTTAATGTAAAGAGAAGTACATCTTCACAATAATTGTCATTTTGTGCCAGGGTAAAAAACAACGGAAACAAGACAGACGGACAGACAGGGGCTAAAACTACGACATGGGCACAATTTGACCGAATTCGAGTAAATTCCATCGTGACCTTAAAAACTAGTTACCTTCGTTTTTCAAAGTCATGAGTCGAATTAGTCGTATTGTGCCAAAAAAGTAGCTTTCGCCTCTCAATAGAGGAAGATCTAGCTGGCTCCAACTCAATTCGACTGAATTTGATTGGCTGAGTGCAGACAGTCTTTTTCGTTTTAGCAAAGATTTTACAGAGCTCGCAACTGCATACGGTCATATGAGCGCCAAGGGGTAGATGACAACAGAGAAGTCCTTACAGGGAATCAGGCTTACTCTGTTCACCTCTAGACGGTCTTTACCTCCTACTACAGACATAAATACCCTATAACTTGAGAGACGACAGCAATGAGGAGCAGACAATAAGTCACGGACAGACCAACCTTACATACCATGGCACTAGAGAACGATGGAACAATCACAGGTTGTTGAATCAAAGGACAATTTATTGATCACAGACACTCACTAAATACTTTGTCAAGTTCTGCCTAAAATAAGCAAGTGTGTGTTGCAGTCCTGCGCCTGAGTGAATGAGTCAGAGCGTTTGTGCACGCACGAGTGTGTGTGTGTGTGTATGTGTGTGTGTGTGTGGGCGTGCGTGTGTGTGTGTGTGTTTTGTTTTGTTAAAAGTTCTAAAACACAATTATTGAGAGTGTGTAGATGTGAATATACGTGTACATTTGTGTGGGTGTGTGTGTGCTTGAAAGTATGTATGTACACCATTGAGTGAGAGTGTGGGTGAGCATATACGTGTCAGGAAATGGCATCACGACAAAGTGTGTATGTGAATACGTATGTTTGTGCATGTTTACCAGTGTGTATGACAATAACATAAAAATTTGAATTTTCTAAAATACAACAATTCACAATAAAAACATACCTGCCCTATTCACCGACATACTCACAAAATCTCAACACATCAAAACATCTTTTCTCCACTAGGACAAACTCGAAAAATGATAGCAATTCAAATATTTCTATTTGAAATTCTCTCATTATGAGCCCCTCAACTGTCAATTTCACACCTCTCATATCCTATTTGCCGTACTAGGGTCCATTTCTAGCTTTAATACTTATTTCATGAGTGAATATTCTCCCACCCCCTCAATACGTAACACACTTCCTATCACAAAACTGCTTCGTCATCAAAACCATTCCACACACAACAATTTTTTTTCTTTTTTTTTTTAACAGACAAAACCAAGGAACACCCGGTATGCTGTTTTTTTTTACATTTTTTTTTCAATGAATATATTTTTTTTCTCAGTTTTTTTTTTCAACGAATACAATATCTTTTTCTAAATTTTTTTTCAAAGAATACATTATATTTTTTTAAAACGTTGTTCTTGATTATTACTCTAGAAGTGACCTTTGCTCTGGTGAGCACGTCCACTTGCTATCAAGATTCCAACCACAGACAACGGCAGAGCTGAAGCAACGTCACACCCCTCCGCCCGACCCTGCACAGACATCAGTTAAAATTTTTAAAATTTTATTTTAATTTCCAGTAGCATGTGATGAAAATAAAACCCATCTTCAAATAATTTCTACTTATATGTCGTATAGCGGTAGCTTAGTCCACCAGATCTATTAAAATGTCAAGGCCAGGCTACAGGTCAGGTAAAAGAAAAAAAATGACACTAATGATCGGTAACAGCAACAGCAGGAACCTGAGTCGAAACAACAGCCGTACAATCAAGGGAGAAACACAAACAACAACCTCAATATCAACGACAGCAACACCGACAGCAAAAACAACGAAACAGCAATAATGACGACAGCAATAACAATGACAGTAAAAAACAACGAAACAGCAATAATGACGACAGCGTCATGGAAAGGCACTCAAAGACGTGGCACACTCTGGTCCTCTCGAAGATTTCTACGCAATCTAGTTTTGGGTGCCAACTCTTTGTCTCTCTATCTGTCTGTCTGAGTCTGTCTCTCTCCGTGTCTGTCTCTCAGTGTCTGTCTGTCTGTCTGTCTCTCTCTCTCTGTCTGTCTCTCAGAGTCTGTCTGTCTCTCTGTCTGTCTGTGTCTCTGTCTGTGTCTGTCTCTCTCTCTCCGCCTCCTACTAATAAAAAGTGTAATGCCACTTTCCCAAAGACACAATGTGAGGCCCCTGACAGGGGTACGAACTCGTGACATTTCAGTTACGAGGCCGCCAACCTATGCACAAGACCACAGAGAAACCGCTCTTCCACAAACTGCCGCTCATAAACATTCGACTCTCACCCTATCTTTACGGTTCCAGGGCACATCCACAAACAGAACGCAGCAATGTAAATTACGATGGTATCATTGAAAAATGAAATTACATCAATAATACTCAAGATTTAAAAAGGAATGTGTTATCTAAAAAAAAAACAACCAAATCCACTCCAATTATATTTTTAATTTTATAAGGAGGGCTCTTTAAAAAAACCAATCCAAAACAATCAATAATACTGAAGATTTAAACAGGAAAGTATTATAAAATTTTTTTTGAAATGACAAATTATTAATACTAAAGGTCTAAAGAGAAGACATGAAGTGTGATAAAATCATGGGCAGCACAATCACTAGAACAACAGAACAGCGTGCCAGAGCAGTTGAGAAAGGAAGTGAAAGGCCGACCACTGCACACCAATCTCAAAGGCCTGCTGAGACAAGAGATGACACCTCCAACCAACCAACCAACCAACCAACCAACCAACCAACCAACCAACCAACCAACCAACTAGCCAACTAGCCAACCAACGTCCAACCAACCAACCAACCAACCAACCAACCAACCAACTAGCCAACTAGCCAACCAACCAACCAACCAACCAACCAACTAGCCAACTAGCCAACCAACGTCCAACCAACCAACCAACCAACCAACCAACCAACCAACTAGCCAACTAGCCAACCA